ATGCAGCCGGTGTCCTTAAAGAGGGAAACTGGAGCAGGCAGATGAAGCACTTCTAATTTGCTATACCATCAAGCACAAGCCTAGTTTTGTCAAACTTCTGAGTCCCTTTACTCTCTCTCTCTCTCTCTCTCTCTCTCTCTCTCTCTCTCTCTCTCTCTCAAGAATTTAACGTAACCTGAACATCTGGTAAACACGTGCTAAGAAATGTTGGGTACATAGAACTAAATGAAGAAGTCTCTTTACAGCCTAAAATCCTTAGCTTTGTTTATTCATTTGAGACAGGATGTCACCACGTATTACTGACCAGGCTGGACTCAAACATGCCGAGCTCCTTCTGCCTCTACCTCGAAATCCCGCTCTGGGATTACAGGTGCGGACCACCAAACCCTGTGTCTTAGTTAGGGTTTCTGTTGCTATGAGGCGACACCATGATCATAGTAACTCTTACAAAGAAAAACATTTAATTGAAGTGGCAGTTTATAGTTTCAAAGATTCAGATTATCATCATGGCAGGGAGCATGTTGGCATGTAGGCAGACAAGGTGCCTTGCAGGCAACAAGGAAGTCAACTGAGCCACTGGGCGGTATCCCGAGCATAGGGAACCTCAAAGCCTGCCCCCACAGTGACATACTTCCTCCAACAAGGCCATACCCACTCCAACAAAGCCACACCTCCTAATAGGGTCACTCCCCATGAGATTATGGAAACCAATTAAATTCAAACTATCACACCCTGCTTGAATCCTAACTTTTTACAGTCCCTGACTCAGTATCCTCTCTCTCACTCCCAGACCCATGGTAAAGTTAAAAAGATCAGTTTCACCCCTAATGTATATTTCCCAAGAATTAATTAGGACAGTCTTGTCTTCTCATCCCTGCCACGAGGACTCCATTTCTCTGAACGCTGAACTACAATAAACCCTTTCTTTCCTATTTGATCACAGCATTTTGTCAGAGCCACAGAAAAGTCACTAATGCAATGACCTAGACACTCTTAGGATGCTCCCACCATTGCCTGCCGCTTCGCTGCGCAGATGGCTTTGCGTCTTGATAGAGAGGCCACAGAAGTGGCGTGCGTCCCCAACGCAGCTCTCAAAGCAGTATGTAATTTTAGTTTGTCTAAAGCTGCTTTTAAACTTCCTTGCCTGATGAAAGTGGAGGCTGACTCAAACTTTCTGGACTGCGTTGGCTTTCCCTCCACACTTGGCAAGTGTTTTGTGTTCTGTGTAATGCTGCTTTGAGATCATGTGACTGTGTGTTCCTCACCAAACACCCACTCATCCGTGTGACCATTCAGTGATACTTCTTGGCTGAACTTACTACGTGATGGCTGCCAAATACTGATTTTCTAATTTCACCATCCTGTTTATAATCACCAGTTGACTTGTCTACGACTAGGAAAAGATTTCCTTCCTCTCTTGCTCGCTACCATATAGCTAACTTATTGGTTAAAGTTATATATATTCTCTCTTGCTCGCTACCATATAGCTAACTTATTGGTTAAAGTTAATATCATGATAGGCTCATGGATTTCTATTTGAACATATTAAAAGATATTACTATTGATATTTATTTTGAGGCCAAAAGGGCCCCTGATTGGTCAGTTTTGGGAAACCTTGAAAGCTGATTTTTCAGCGGGTCCTTACTTCCTGGAGGCACTTCTTGGGACAAAGCACTCTGCTGCGATTTTGTTTTGGCTCAGTGTTGGCTACTTTTCCCTCAAGAAGCTTTGGGTTAATCCGAAGGGAATCTACTAACAAGATCAAGATGTTAGGTGTGCTGTTGTCATTGGGCTGTAGGAGCGTCTGAACTTTGTGAAATGCTTTTGATTTTGGAAATTAAAATATAACTACATCATTCTCCCCTTCCCTCTCCTCCCATGCACACACTTGCTCTGTCTCAAAATCTTGTTCTCTTTTTCTTTAGATGCTGTTACACACATGCGCGCACACACATTTATGTATGTTTGAATGCATGCATGCATGTATGTGTATTCCTAAATACATAAGCACACCCTGCCCAGTCAGTATCAAATTTCTTGTTCGTATATGATTTCAGGGCTGACCACTCGGTACTGGATAACCAGTTTGGGCCTCTTCCCTGGGGACAACTGTTTCCTAATTCCACAATCCCTTTGTTGTCTGTACTTCTTTGTCTAGAACTGATGCCCCGCGAGATTCCCTCCTGCCGTGTTACCACATCTATTGGTGCCAGCCTTGTTGATCGCGGTCATGCTGGTGAGGCTTTCTGGGAGTAGCGTCTGAAATTCCTAGAGATGCAATCTCATCACAAATTTCCTGTTCCTCTGGCTCTGACAGGTCTTCCTGCCTGCTCTTCTGAAATGATCCCCGAGGCTTAGGTGCAGGAGTTGTGTTGTAGATGTGCCCGTTGGGGCAGCATCTGAAATCTTTCAGCCGGTAAGATAGATCATTTCTGCACTCGTATTGGACACCGTGCCTCTTGGAAGGCTTCCTCTCAGTTCCAGTCCCCGTTTCACATTTGCATACTCCGTTTCCAACGGCGAACATTCTGGTTTCAAAAGCCTTAGACACAAGTTGAGTAATTTGCCACTTCCTCCTACAGTGTCCACAAAATACTTTCAGTCTGTCTGAAGCCTCTCCACGGCCGGTAACAAATCTACTAAGCAAGGATACAGATAGACTTAAGGTGCTCCATCATTAGACACATCCACTCTTGAATCAAATTTTATTTGAGTATTGATCATATGTTGACCTCTAGTTAGATTTCACTGTGGTGTGTGTGAATTTTAGTTTTCCCGCCAACTTCATTTGCTATAACTGTTCAAAAGATCCGAACCATACCGAATTTTATTGGTAGTGAGTCTACCTCCCCTCCCATTGGCACTGCATCCCTGGGGGACAGAAGATACAACAGTAGCCTTCTTTGTTCACGGCTTGTGTGCAACAAAGTCCCTGCTCCCCTGAAGGATTAGTACCACGTTTCACACCCCATGCACTCTTCCTTTTTTGTAGTCTTATCAGCCACACCTGTAGCACTAACCAGCTTTCTATGGTATCAGCCTTAATTCACTCCCCCCACCCACACTCTGTTCCTAGGCAATTCAGAGTCATGTGATCACTACTTCCGTTGATTTCAGAACCCATAGAAACCCCAGGCCGCTTAGCATCATGGTTCCCCCCAACTGTAACCCTAGGGACATCAGCATGATTTGTTTTTGTAGATCGTCCTAATCTGGACTTTTTACAGGCAAGATGATTACATATAGTCCTTGGTAGTAGTCTTTTATTTAGCAAACTTTTCAAGGTTTGTTTGAGTTATAACATGTCAATATTTGGTTCTTTTTATTCCACCACATCGATACAACAGACTTTGCTGCTTCATTCAGCAACTGCTGGAGGCTTTGGTTGGGCCCAGCTTTTGTTTACTATGAGTTTCTGCTATAAACACTCAGGTATAAGCTTCCATTTCTCTTGGGTGTGGACCTAGGAGTTACTGTCTCATTAAACATAACCACGAATTTGCTCTTTGTAGGAATTGCCAAGCTGTTTCCCATAGTGACTGAAATGATTAATTCTTTTCCATGAAGATTTTCTTTTTATTTTTTATTTTTACATGTGTGTCTGTTGGTGTGTGGGTATGTGCATATGAGGGCAGGTAGCACCGAGGCCAGAGGCATTGGATTCCCTGGAGCTGGATTTACAGCTGGCTGTGAGCCTCCAGATGTGGGTGCTGGGTCCTCTGTGCTCTTAACTCCTAAACCATCTCTCCAGACCCCTGGGATGGCGAATTTTGATTGTCCACCTGACTGGACATGCAATCAACTAAGAAACTCTCCAGTGAGTGGGTTTGTGGGGGCATTTCCATGAGGTAACTGCAGGGAGAAGACTGGCCCCTGATTGGTGGCCCCTTCTGATGAGGTGGGCGGATATAAACAAGTGTGAGCAGAGGCGTGCCTGCCTTCTCTCTCTGTTCCTAACGTCTAACCTTGTTCTCGTTGCAAATTCTTCAGCCTTGCAACATGAGCTGAAGAGCAACCGTCTCGCAGAAACCCAGCAGGGCTACAGTGTCAGCCTGAGACGGCAGAGGCCTCCAGCTTTTCAGTCTGAGCAAGTGTAGGACTCTCTGCCTCTCTGGCTTGCAGATGGCCAACATCTATCATGTCAGCCATTCTAATGAAAACCCTTTCAGAGCATGTATACATTCTTTCTCTAGGTTCTGGTTCTCTGTCGAATCCTGCCTAGCACCGCGGTTTTTATCGAACCCTGCCTAGTGCCACGGTTCCCCATTTTACACTCCCACTTTCAAAATTTCCTTTCTCTACATCCTTACCAAACTTGTTCATATCTGGCATCTTGATTATAGTTGTCCCAAAGCTGCAGAGGACTTATTGGAGTGGACATCTCACTAATACACAGGGTTGTTCTTGCATTCTTTTGCCCTCTAGGGAGCTCACTGGTCGTTGGAATAGACAGAGCACTGAGGGAGTGCTGAGACACCTCTAATACATTAACTAACTGTTAATGAGGGTGGGTCCTGCAGTAGGAGAGAAGCTAGAGCGGGGGTAGGGGGCATGGACAGACAAGATGACAAGAGAAACAGACTCGCTCTAAGCAAGGCGAAAGGCTGTCACTAGGACTGAGTCTGGGCCTTTGAAACATGCTTTAGTGAGAAATGAAAGGCATTGGTTCTCCCCAGTGTCGCAGGAAAGCCGATGATGAAAGCAAATCTTGACATCTTTTCTCTTCAACTCATTTTCTTCCTTCCTTCCTTCCTTCCTTCCTTTCTTTCTTTCTTTCTTTCTTTCTTTCTTTCTTTCTTTCTTTCTTTTTTAACAGTACTGGAGGTCACCAAAGGACTGGCTGGGACTCCACATTCTCTGTGGTCGTGTTGGCCTGTCAATAAATGAAAGCAAACACCAAATGCCATAACACATCCAAATTATAATGAAATACCTCTCCGCCGGTGCCAAGTTGTTCTCTTTGTGGGCACATAATGATGATCTAGATTTATTCTGGGGCATCTGATCATAATGAAATAAACCTGGACTGCTTTCATTTCCTTACTCAGCTTCCAAATTCCTCGTAGGTAAGTCACAAGCCTACAGGGAGAAGCCAGTCAAAGACCCAGAAAGCAGAGGGCTAAATGGAGCAAGGAACCAGAATGAGAAATGTTGGGGAACAGGAGATTTAATTCTTGAATTTCTATATTGTACAATGCTTCGTTATGTTTTGTGTCTTCCGTTAGCATGTGTACATATCACTTTAGGGGAAAAAGAGTGTCATTTCACCCCAAATCTTTAGCTTGAAAACTACGCCCTTCATTCAGGTCGGTTTAACAACTAAGCCATTTGGGAGGGGCAGGCAGATGCTGATGTGGGGAGACAGGCGGTGTCCCGAAAGGACAAGGGCTGCCCGGCATAGCTGAGTTAACATCTTTCCTTGAACTTAACTGCAAGTTTGTTTGTGTAGATGTCAGAAAAGAAAAAAAAAAAGGTGTGGTTCAGGGCGTGGTCTTGAACAGGACACACAGTGAACTCCATGGCTTGGTCATTGTGGGTACCGCTGCAGTAATCAGTGATATCTCAGGATCCCGATTCCCGTTTCCTCTGGCTGTATGGATGCAGAGTGGGGTTGCTGAGTCATAGAGTAACTCTTGTTGCAGTTTTCCATATGACCACCAGACCCTTTCCAAGGTGGCTGCAGCGATTTCCGTACCTGTCCTCAGCAGCACGGCTTTCTTTTTATCCACATTCACTGTTGTTGAATTCTATTTAGTATCAAATCTTCTTGAGACCGGATCTTCTGTGTAGCCCAAGATGGACTCAAATCTAAGATCCTTCTACCTTGGCCTCCTGAGTGATGGAATTACAGATGTAATTAATGGATGATCATTTCAAGATTAAATTAAATTAATTTATTAAATTAATAAATTATTAATTAGTAAATTAAAGATTTTCTTTTTGAAGACTCAGCCTATTGACATCTAAGCTATGTAGTTCTAAGCCACAAGGGGGCGCCATTGAATTTTGAATGAATCTTATTGAGTTGAGTTTCCTCTTGTGTGGGCGGTAGGGAAGATGTGGGAATGACAGGGTCCTGGGGGCCACCTTTAGTTATCTTAAATCTGAATGACTGTTTTAAGAAAGCGGGACCAAGGAAATCTTGGTTCAAATCAATCCTAAATCCCAGACATTTCCTCCTTAGATCCTCACTTCTCTCTGCTCTGTCAGAGTGCTGGAGTGGGGACCACGGGGTGGGGAGAGCTTGAAGTAGCTTTCTTAGTACACTTTCTTATAAATCAGACAAAAATTAGGTGCCTTAATTAAAGAAAATCCCTCCTCCTGCTCCCGCCTCTCCTCCTGTTTCTCTTTCCCCTTCAAAGCTACCTCCTTTTTCTTTCTTGCACACTCCCTGACCAGCAGGTACTGAGAACTCACCTCCAAGACCTCACTCCCGATGCAGGCTCCATCAGACTTTTCTGCAAATACTCACAAGCAGACGGGAGCCAAGTGACTGGAGTGTCTGTGAGGAGGGACCCTGAGTGCGGGGATGCTTAGTTATCGTGCCTGCGCTCCACGGAAGTGTGAAGAAGCAGAAGTTCCGCGTGTCCCTGGAAGAGCCCGGTTTACAGATGAAGCCAAACTAGCTGTGGATGCTAAAAATCCATCTAGTCAACAGGAAGAAAAGCTGTCCCTAGAAGGCTCTGGTGAGGCCACAACAGTGACGTCATTTGCCCTCACATTGCCTCTTTGTGGCTTGGAGGCCACGAGGACGGCCTCTGAGCAGCCCACATCCCCTTTACTTTGCACCTAGTGCCCGCTGCTGGGTGTGCTGAGTGTCGAGGGCTTACAGATTCCCCAGGCTCATTTCCTGAGTTGCTCTCAGGATGGGACTCTTACAGGGCAGCAAGACCAGATCTTGCTTACTAAGCAAGCCCTGGGATCAGCCTAGAACTGGACTCATCAGAGGTCCCTTACCAGCTCGCCGCTTCCCCGTCTAGTCAGTTGCCTTCTTGAATCTTCTTGAAGACTATGCACCTAGTTAAGTCGCAGGCAGACCCTCAGCCTGTCTCAGGTTCGGTTAATTGAGTAAACATAGTTAATCAGCCGGGAGGTGGTGGCACACACCTTTAATCCCAGCACCTGGGACTCAGAGGCAGCCGGATCTCTGAGTTCAAGGCCAGCTTGGCCTATAGTGTAAGTTCCAGGACAGCCAAAGCTACACAGAGAAACCCTATTTCAAAATAAATAAATATTTTTTGCTCCGAGTCTTCAAGCTTGAGCATCAGCTAGAGGTGATTATTTTGGAAAATCTGACAAAATAAGATTCATTCATTCTGAAGTCTCTTCTCCCTCCTGAAATATCACTCAACTTAGAATGTCCCTCACAGCAGTCCAATGGTCTGAACTGTCCCCAGACTGTGTATGTGTGTCCACAGGTGTGTGCTTACAATGCAAACGAAATGCATGTGGAGGCCAGTGTCATTCCTCCCCAGACACTGTCCACTGAGTCGTCTCTGCTGCAGCTAAGCTTCAGGCATCTCCTCTCCGCCCC